TGGCATCACAATTGTTGATACGTGAGTTCGACAATATATTTATTAAACAGTAAGAGGTTCGGAAATTCTCGTTTATTGATAACGTGTTCGGAAATGAGTTACAAACAGCGTATAAATAAAGAGAAATGAATGTAAAGGACGTTGAGCCCAGAAGCTTATAAGCTGACGAACCTTGTGCTTCTCCGATTAACTGAGTAATGAGATCGGTGTTCTGAGACCGGAGACTGAGTGACAGGTAGGTGTAACGAGGTCGGAAACTGAATGATAAGTACGTATTTTGAGGTCRGAACCTGGTGATAAGTGCTYTGTGATCGGRGTAAATACGGATTCTGCAAGCCGTTTTCTAACGAACTTCCGTACGATTCCGGCGGAAAACGTACGAACAGAATTCTTTTCCCTTTTTGGGTGAGTTAGAGTCCTGAAAACCGTTGGTCTTTAAGATCCCTTGTACTCTCCAAAGGGTAATAGCTGATGGATAATAGAAGGTGAGGGACCCCTATTTATACTAGATGGAGGAGGTACATTAAAGTAGGGTTTCTCTTGGGACTTGACTTGGGCCTTTAATTCTGCCAGGCCGAGCTCGGCGAGATGGACTTTATAATTTGTCAATTATAAGACCCATGCCCAATAGTAGCCCCCCAAGTCGACGAGCGCGTTGGTTGGTGGGCTCGTCGATGTGGTTCAGAGGTCCATATTTCCTTCGGCCGATCATCTGCTCGCTTCTAATTGGCTTTTTTGAAGCGGTGCACGAATCTCAAGAGGCAACATTTTGTCTTCTGAGCTAGGTCTATTTAAGCGAGATTCAGACTTCCATTTCCTCTATTTGCTTTCTCGATCACTCTGGACAAAGGTAATCTTCTCTCTAACCTCTTTTTCGATTTTTCTGCTCGGCTTCGGATTTCCCGGCAAGATCTTCAGGTTCCCCTGGTCGATTCTTCTTTTCTTCTAAGTCCGTTTTCTAGGTTTTTCGACTGTCTCTTCATCATGTCTTCCAATTCGAACGATCGTGAAGAATCTGACTCGGTTAACTCCGGCAATTCTCCGAGTCTCGAATATTCCCCTCCGCAGCGCACTGAATCCCCTGGGGCTTCTTCTTTTGACCATCAGCCGCTGATTCTTCCGAATCAGCGAGATCCAACCGCTAACCGGGGTGGGGTTGCTTCAAGCTCGGATCGACCTCCTTTGATAAGCTCCCGTGCTGTGTCGAGCTCACATCCTTCTCCGAGTATGGTTCTTCCTCCGACGAGATACGGTACTGGCAAGAGTTTGGCTCTCAGACCTAGCTCGCCTGATACTGGGTACTAGACCTCCCAGTTCGAGCTGGACGACCTTGGTGACTATGGTCGTCATCTGGGTCCTGGCCTCGCTTCTGATATCGTTCTCGAGTGTCACGATGATGAGGGGACGAAATCTACTGCAGATACGCTCAATAATCTTCGGAGTGGATATCACATCTCGTCGCGGGTCTCCTTCCTTCTCCCGAAGAGTAGTGATCGACCGTGGAATCCTCCTCCGCAGTACATGTGTCTATATGAGTCCTTCATTTACGAAGGTGGGAACTGGTTCCCTCTTCCAAGGCTTTTGGTCGAATACTGTGCTCGGAGGAAGATTGCATCCATCAGCTGACGACCGCATCCATCCGTAATCTGGTCGGGTTGATGGTAATGGCAGCCGAGCTAGAGCGAAAACTCTGCTGCGATGCCCTTGAGGATCTGGTGAAGATCACTCGAAAAATGGCGAAAGGAGGTCGTTTCTATCTTAGCATGAAGAAATCCCTCATTGAGTGCTCCAAAGGAAATAAAATTGCCGATTGGGACGCTCGTTATTTCTTTGTGAAGATCGATCAGGCCTCGGTCGGGAATCTGGACTGGGAACACCGAGATCAGTATTTATTTTGCCCTTGTGTTTTTCTTGGATTGATCGGCACTGACGCCTGATCTGTTTTCTTTATTTTGCAGTTCGTCATTGCGGGTTTCGTCGTTTTACGAAGAGATTTACCTAACTGAGAGACAGATTGCTTTCGTTTGGACCTCAGTGGTGGCCGGATTTCCTGAGTCAGCGAATCCGTCGTGCTCTTCCTCGCATGCAATCATGTGAGTTTCTCTTTCTTTCCACGCCTTGTTTTGACTCTATCTTATGGTGGTTACCTAAAGTTTGTGTTTGTTGTTTCAGGTCGATACGATATCGAGCTCTTTCCACTTAGACTTTCTCTTGCTCGATCTCAGCATGAAAAGGGAGAGAAGTTATCCACCAGGAAGAAGGTGGAGAGCAGCGACGCGGGGAGGAAGAAGGCAAGGCGGCTCAGAAGCTCCCAACTAAGCACGGAGTTGGAAATGGCCTGATGGTGAAGCCTTCTTCTGTCATTCATAACTACGCTTCCCGGACGAAGCAAAGGGAGGAAGAATGCAGGAGGAAGAGAGAGGAAGAGGAAAGGAGAAGGGTCGAAGAGGCTCGGGGGGGGGGGGATGCCGTTGTGGCTCCATCTGCGGTTGATCCTCCACCGACCATTGAAGTTGACAGTAATCTTGCGGGGGGAGACGATCTTGCGATCGTCAATGTTTCAGACGAACCTAGATCCCCGTCTGAAAATGTTACCCTCCGACCTCGACAGGACGAGCTTGCGGCTGCTCGTTTGGGCAAAAGGGTCCGAGTGGACGATAGGTTAGGGTCCACCCAAAAATGGACTCGCACTGATGGCGAGGCCTCTTTGCCTTTTCTCAACGCTGTCATCCCGGTCCCGGCTGCGAATCCGTCGACGGGCGAGGTGGCCAAGGGACAGGATGAGCTGGCGACCGCTTCGACTTCGAGTACTCCTTCAAGGGAAACGGGAATCCCTTGTGGCCGAGGGACATGTGTGCGGAACTCATGGGCAGCATCCGAGGAGGAGAGCCTTACTCTATGCCTAAACCGACCGATCTCTTTGGTCGTAAAGAGTATGCTAACTGGTCACAGAGTGTGGCTCAGGTACCCTTAATTTCAGCTCTACCTATTTTTGATTTGTTCATCAGTTTGATCACATTATAACTCTTGATTTTGCAGATGATCGGGAGTACCAACTTTATGGTCGAACATTACCATCCTTTGCTCGGATGGAGAGGTATAAGGAGAAGTTCGTCAAGAGCAGCGAAAGGGTCAAGGAGCTCGCAAAGAGCGCACAGGATGCGCTCGAGGCCAACTCTGCCATTCAGAAGGAGAACGAGGTGCAGAGGGAGATCATCAAGACCCTATCGCTTGCTGGGAAGAAAGAGAGGAAGAGGCTGAGGGACTCCTGTGCTTTCGAGGTTGAGAACGAGAGGAGGCGTATTGAGGAGAGGATGCTGACAAGGATGGAGACTAAGCTCGGGAAGCTGAAGCAGCATCGCCAGGAGACGGAAGCTGTTAACGAATTGAAAACGTTTTTGGGTCAGGCAATGTGTGTCCTGGATATCTACGAGGGTCTGATGAAGGAAGGGGTGGTTATTCCTTCTCATAAGATAGAGCTGGTTGAGTCAAACATTACGTCCCTCACCAAAGACCTCGACGCAATGGACGTTCTGGAGATCGGCGAGGCCGACTTTCAAGTGACCCCGGAGGCTGAAATGATGCCGGTAGAACGGTGGGTGCTTGACTCTCCGAACTCTCCTGAATCTCTGAACTCTTCTGAATCTCCGACCTTGAGTCAAGTAGATGACTCGATCTTGGATGACCGTGAGGGAAACGCAGTCGTTAACACTGAAGTCGATCCAGCGACTGGTGAACCCCTCGCTCCTCTCTTCGGTGTCTCCGAAAGTGCTCCTCAATAAGCTCGCCTGTTTTCCCTTTCTCTCCCTCCTTTTTTTTTTTAAACTTAGTTTATGATCAGGCCATCTGTGGTCTTAGTATTTATTCTTGTAATGTTCCGAACCTGAA